CTTTCTGTACAGCCTGCATATCTGTGAGCCAATTACATCCCCCCTTTTTTTTCTATAAATTACCCAGTCTCAGGTATTTCTTCATAGCAATGCAAGAACAGACTAATGCATAGGGGCAAGTCTAATACTGATAAGTGCAAGGAAAGGAAAGATAATTATAAATAAATAATAAAAGCAAACACATGGCTATATCCTGACCTACTGATCTGGTTTAGCATTTGAGATCCTGTGTAGAACATACTCTAAACAGAGATAAATTGTTATTCCAAGTGTTAACAGTCTCATGTTCAATTACTTTCTGTCAGAGTTTAGCATCTTCAGCAGGATCAAAATCAGAATTTCTCTTGGTTGGCATCTTCTCAGTATTAGAAGGACCCTACCAAGGCTGTTTCGATACTGGCAGCATCATCCTTATCATCCTGTTGGTGGGTCTTTTGAGCAGGCATCGGAGTCATCTGGGGGCTTGCTGAAACAGATTGCTGAACAGATTCCAACAGAAACTCTCCTAGAGTTTCTGATGGAATTTAGGTGTGGCCTGAGCACTGGCAATTTTTAAAGCTCTCTGGATGATTTCAACTTTGCAGCCCTTTTGAGAACCATTTCTAGAACCGTGGTTCTCAAACCTCAACAGGCATCAGAGTCATCTGGAGGACTTAGTAAAACACAAATCACTGGACTCCACTTTAGAGTTTGATTCAGTGAGTTGCAGTTGGTCGAGCCTGAGAATTTGCATTCTGACAAGTTCCCAGGTAATGCTTATGCTGCTGGTCTGAGGACTGAGCTTTGAGAACCACTGGCACCGGGACATTGTCTGCACTGGTAATAGTAAACACCCAGTTTTAGCATTGCAAATTGGGTCACTCTCAGAAGCAAACTGGAGAGCTTCGTGTCAGATTAATGGATTGCTGAGCCAGTGCTGGATGGCATCCTAAAGAGCATCAGTCGCTCTGCCCCAACTTTGAGCTGACAAACCTGATACTGCTTAGCATGACAATTCTCAAGAATATTTGTTGGAATTTCCCTTTTAAAACTGTACATACGGCCGGGCACAATGGCTCACAACTATAATCCCAGCACTTTGGGATGCTGAGATGGGAGGATCGCTTGAGCTTAGGAGTTTAAGACCAGCCTGGGCAACATAGTGAGAACTCATCTTTACTAAAAATTAAAATTAAAATAATTAGCTGGCCATGGTGGCACATACCTGCAGTCCCAGCTACCTGGGAGGCTGAAGTAGGAGGATCACTTGAGCCCAGGAGGTTGAGGCTGCAGTGAGCCATGATCATGCCACTGCACTCCAGCCTGGGTGACTGAGTGAGACCCTGTCTGAAAAAAACTTTTTTTTAATAAAATTGTACATAGGTTCTCCATCTTCTTACTGGTATACCTGCGTAGATGCAGAAAACTCCAAAACCCATAGCATATCTTGTTGGTGCTCTGTACTGCCCTCAATACTGATTGTAATTCTTAATACACAGTTTTAACTTTTTATTTGTGTATTATTTTAACTCCCAGAAAAGTTTCCAGAATAATACAAGAAACTCCCATATAACCTTTATCTAAATTCACACATTTTTTTTTCCTCTGGGCTTTATGCTTTTCTCTCGCTGTCTATCTATCTGTCTATTTTTTATTTTCTCTGAGAAGTTTGAGAATAATTTGGAAACATTGTGATCCTTTAACATGAAATATTTTAGCTATATTACCTAAGAAAAAAGGCATTGTCTTAAGTAATCACAGTACAGTCCTCAAAATGAAGAAAGGAACATTAACTTTTTTTTTCTTTTTTTTGATATGGAGTCTTGTTCTGTCACCCAGGCTGCAGTGCAGCGGCGCAATCTTGGCTCACTGTAGCCTCCGCCTCCCCAGTTCAGGTGATTCTCCTGCGTCAGCCTCCTGAGTTATCTGGGATTACAGCCTCCCACCATCACACCCGGCTAATTTTTGTATTTTTAGTAGAAACTCGGTTTCGCCATGTTGGCCAGGCTGGTCTCAGAACTCCTGACCTCAAGTGATCCACCTGCCTCGGCCTCCCAAAGTGCCAGGATTACAGGCTCAAGCCACTACACCCAGCCAGTGACATTAACTTTTCATATTATTATCTAAGTCACAGTAGAGATTCAAGTTTGGCCAGCGTCAAATGGCCATGGTAGCTGTGTGTTTTCTCTCGGTGCCGGGTTCCACCCAGCATCATGGATTGCACGTGGCCGTGATGTCTCTTTAGCTTCCTCTAATCCAGCAGAGGTCCTTAGCCTTTCTTAGCCTTTCTTGACCTTCACATTTTTTGAGAAGCACAGGCCAGCTGTTTTGTAGAATGTGTCTTAGTTTGGGTTTGTGTGATGTTCTGTCATAGTTAGATTCAGATGGTGCATTTCCAGCCAGCACGTCACCGCACTGAAGTTTTATCCTCGGTACATCACTTCAGGAGGCAGCCCTACATTCTACATTCTTCGTTTGCCCCAGTATTAGTAATGTTAGCTTCGACTGTTTGGATGAGGTGGTGTCTGCCAAACATTTCCACCTTAAGGTAACAGTTTTCGCCTTTGTAATTAATAGGTGTTTTGTGGCCAAGCGCCTGTAATCCCAGCACTTTGGGAGGCCGAGGCAGGTGGATCACGAGGTCAAGAGATCGAGACCATTCTGGCCAACATGGTGAAACCCCATCTCTACTAAAAATACAAAAATTAGCTGGGCATGGTGGCATGTGCTTGTAGTCCCAGCTACCCGGGAGGCTGAGGCAGGAGAATTGCTTGAACCCAGGAGGTGGAGGTTGCAGTGAGCTGAGATCGCACCACTGCACTCCAGCATGGCGCCTGATGACAGAGCAAGACTCTGTCTCAAAAAAAAAATTAAATTAAAAAATAAGTGTTTTGTAGGGAGAGGCTCCAAGGCTATGCAAATGGCCTATTTCTGATCATTTTTTCACCCACTAGTTTTAGCAGGCAGTGATGGTTTTCCACCTGCGTCATTCCTTCCATTCATTTCTGCTATTGAGCTTTAGCGTCTCTGAAATTCTTACTCCTGTCTCTCAGCTCATTAATCTTTGTATAGACTGGAGTTGACATTGTGGCAAGTCACATTTGTGCCATTTGTAACAGTGATGAGAAAGCTGCTGATACATACAGAGAAAAGAAATAATAAGAAACCATTCTACTAATAGTGTTGCTAAAGAAGAGACCAAACGACATGAAAAAAAGGCAATTAAGGAAGTTAAAGTGGGCTTTAAAAACAAAAACTTGAATTTATGGATCGAAAGAGCACCTTTGAATTCCATAAAACTAAATGAAAATCGACATTCACCCAGACACATCCTAAAAATAATTTGAATTGCAGGGGTTGAGAAATGTTTTCCTTCGCTCACGCCTATAATCCCAGCACTTTGGGAGGCCGAGGCAGGCAGATCACGAGGTCAGGAGGTCGAGACCATCCTGGCCAACATGGTGAAACCCTGTCTCTACTAAAAATACAAAAATTAGCTGGGCATGGTGGCGTGTGCCTGTAGCCCCAGCTACTCAGGAGGCTGATACAGGAGAATCACTTGAATCCAGGAAGCAGAGGCTGTAGTGAGCCGAGATTGCGCCACTATACACCAGCCTGGGCGACAGAACAAGACTCTGTCTCAAAAAAAAAAAAAAAAAAGTTTTCCTTCAAGCATCCATGCAGGAGAGAAAAAAAGGCTAATGCCAAAGGAACAAAAATACAGGTAACCTTAGGGCTGTCTTTGACCACCCTTCATGCCAGCCAGCAGTGGGGAAAGACAAGTTTGGGTAAGGAAAGGTTTATCCCAGGAATGGCAAACCGTGTCCCACTTCCAAAGACCTCAAGAACATGCCACTGCTCAGAAGGCCCTGAAGACATTCCAGTTGCCTGAGCATTTTCTCTCTCCTGTTGCCCTGCAGACTCTTGACTTACCTTCACATCTTTCGTAGCCTGCACGCTGCTTTCAGGAGCTCAGAAAGCATTTGTTGACATATGCATACAGACCCTCATTCTCCTCTCTGCTGCAGTCCGCTGGCTTCCTATGGGTCCTCACACGTGCTCAGCCGGGCATACTGCGCTGGTGTTTCTTGAGCCAAAATGTCCTTCCCCGCAGTCGGCGTGCCCAGCTCCCCATCTCTTTCAGTCATTTTCAAAGTCATGTTCTCAGGCCTGGCGCAATGCCTCACACCTGTAATCCCAGCATTTTGTGGGGCCCAGGCAGGCAGATTGCTTAGTCTAGGAGGTAAAAACCAGCCTGGGCAACATGGCAAACCCCATCTCTACAAAAAATGCAAAAATTAGCCCAGCTTGGTGGTGTGTGCCTGTAGTGCCAGCTACAGGCTAAGGTGGGAAGATCCTGTGAGCCTGGGAGGCAGAAGTTGCAGTGAACTGAGATCACAGCACTGCAGCCTAAGGGACAGAGTGAGGCTCTGTCTCCAGAAAAACAAAACAAAAAAACCATCGTTTTCTCATTGCCGCCTTCCCTGGTCATCCTGTGAAGCAGCCTGTTTCACCTACTCACCCCCTCTATATTTTTTTTACTTTCTCTTGATTTTTCTTGTTAATATTTTAACATTATATTAAAATATTTTAATAGACTTATTTATCTAATATTTTTATTTTTTAAATTTATTTATTTTTGAGACAGAGTCTTGCTCTGTTGCCCAGGCTGGAGTGCAGTGCTGTGATCTTGGCTCACTACAACCTCTGCCTCCCAGGTTCAAGCAATTTTCCTGCCTCTTGAGTAGCTGGGACTACAGGCCTGCCACCATGCCTGGCTAATTTTTGTATTTTTAGTAGAGATGAGGTTTCACCATGTTGGCCAGGCTGGTCTTGAGCTCCTGACCTCAAATGATCCGCCCACATCAGCCTCCCAAAGTGTTGGGATTACAGGCATGAGCCACCGCACCCAGCCTATTTTATTTTTAATATATGTTTTATTTATTGTCTGTCTTCCCAACTAGAATATAAGTAATGTGTTAGTTCATTTGCATTGTTATAAAGAGATGCCTGAAGCTGAGTAATTTATAAAGCAAGAGGTTTATTTGGGGTCATGGTTCTGCAGGCTGTACAGGAAGTGTGAGGCCAACATCTGCTTCTGGTGAGGCCTCAGGAAGCTTCTGGTCATGGCAGAAGGCGAAGGGGGAGCAGGTGCATCTCACAGCAAGAGAGGGAGCAAGGGGCAGGGGAGAGGCCACACGGTCTTAACCAGATCTCACAGGAGAGAGTGAGAACTCACTCATTACCATGAAGAGGGCACCAAGGTACCGATGAGGGATCCACCCGCATGACCCAAACACTTCCCACCAGGCCCCGTTTCCAACAATGGAGGTCACATTTCAGTATGAGAGTTGGAGGGGACAGACATTCAAACCATATCAAGTATCATGAGAATAGGCATTTTTACCTAAATAGATTCCCTATGGCTCCACAAGACCTAGATCAGTTCATGGCACCTTGTCAATCCGAAAGTACATGCTCTTTTTTATTGTTGCAATCCATATTTTCTGCAGGGCCAGGTAGTTCAGCAGTCCAGCCACATCATCAGACACCCAGGCCCTTTGCATCTCTGTCAGCCTCCTCCCCTTTGGCTGCCCAACTTGGTGCCTGCCCTACAGATTCCTCACAAACATTTAACCAATTAATGAAAGTGTGAAGGACTGGGCACGGTGGCTCAGCCTGTAATCCCAGCACTTTGGGAGGCCAAGGGGTGGATCACCTGAGGTCAGGATTTCAAGACCAGACTGACCAACAAACATGGTGAAACTCCATCTCTACTAAATATACACAAATTAGCCGGGTGTGGTGGCAGACACCTGTAATCCCAGCTACTCAGGAGGCTGAGGCAGGAGAAACACTTGAACCTGGGAGGCGGATGTTGCAGTGAACCGAGATTGCACCATTGCACTCTAGCCTGGGCGGCAGAGCAAGACTCCATCTCTTAAAAAAAAAAAAAAAAAAGAAAGAAAGTGTGAAGTCCCATTTCTCAGTAGAGGAAAATTCTGTATAGGAAATGTGTTCAGATCAAGGAGAGGAATCTCCTTGATGGGACAGAATGACAGAATCAACAAAGAGCTTACATTTTGCCCTTAGTATTAAAGAGTAAGGGGTATGTGTGTGTGTGTGAGTGTGTGTGTGTGTGTACAGAGAGAGATTTCTTTTCCATCTTTAATTAAGTTCCTGGTAGCCCTTGATTCTATTGTATGTAAATCCTTTAACCTTATTTTCTTCACAAGGCAGATCCTTCTGGAATATTTTGCTAATTTTTTTTATTATTTATTTTGAGACAGAATCTTCCTCTGTCACCCAGGCTGGAGTGCATTGGCATGACCTTGGCTCACGGCAACCTCCGCCTCCTGGGCTCAAGCAGTTCTCCTGCCTCAGCCTCCTGAGTAACTGGGATTACAGGCACCCGGTACCATGCATGGCTGGTTTTTGTAGTTTTGGTAGAGATGGGGTTTCACCATGTTGGCCAGGCTGGTCTCGAACTCCTGACCTCAAGTGATCCACCCGCCTCGGCCTCCCAGAATGCTGAGATTACAGGTGTGAGCCAGTACACCCGGCCTATTTTACTAATTTTTAAGCAAGAGCCAGATGTGGTGGCTCACACCTATAATCTCAGCACTTTGGGAGTTCGGCGGGGAGGATGCTTGAACCCAGGAATTCAAGATGAGCCTAGGCAGAACTGTGAGACCCCATCTCTACAAAGAATAAATATCAACTGGACTTGATGGTGCACACCTGTATCAGAGCTACTTAGGAGGCCGAGGTGGGTCCTTGTGCCTAGGAGGTCAAGGCTACAATGAGCTGATTGTGCCACTGCAGTCTAGCCTGAGCAAGACCCTGCATCAAGAAGGAAGGAAGTGAGGAAGGGAGGGAGGGAGGGAAGGAACATGGGGAGAATAGGAAGGGAGGGAGGGAAGGGAAGGAGAGGAGGGGAGGGGAGGGGAGGGGAGGGGAGGGGAGGGGAGGGGAAATTTAAAAGCAGCTGGCCAGAAAGTAGGGAGGAGACTGTGGCGTTTGAGGACCATGATAGAAGACAGGAAACAGTGTTGTTCCCTTACAATACTTAGTTAAGTGACATGCCAGTGTGTGGAGATAGAAAGCAGACATCTAAGGAATGTATTTAAGAAACAGCTTTCTAGGACCTGGAATGAGATCTATGCAAAGAAAGTTGTTCTCTGTCCAGTAAGCTTGACCAGAGAATCCAGTTGGTTATCTTCAAAAAGGAGTGCACGCACAGGATGTTCCATTGAGTTACTGGGGACGAGGGGGAACAGACAGTCATTGGTATGTTTTCATCTGAAATCATTAGGAAGAAATTCCTCTGTATTGCGTGGAATGTGAGGCTTGCTGAAGAAAAATTGGCAGCTCCTCATTGTGGGAGAATTATTTATTGGTTTTCATTATTCTGCAGCATATTGCAGTTTACTTGAACCCAGCTAAGAAGACTTACAGGTTACTTAGTTTTAACAAAAATAATCCTCAAGGAAATGTACAAGTAGCTTGGACAGATTCCTGCAACAAACGTTAGATTGGAAATACTGGCCAAGGCTGGGCGTGGTGGCTCACGCCTGTAATCCCAGCCCTTGGGGAGGCTGAGGCAGGCAGATCACTTGAGGTCAGGAGTTTGAGACCAGCCTGGCCAACATGGTGAAACCCGTCTCTACCAAAAATACAGAAATTAGCTGGGTGTGGTATCGCATGCCTGTCATCCCAGCTACTCAGGAGGCTGAGGCAGGAGAATCGCTTGAGCCTGGGAGGTGGAGGTTGCAGTGAGCCAAGATTGTTCAACTGCCCTCCATCCTCGGTGACAGGGCGGGACTCCATCTCAAAAGAAGAAAATACTGGCCAAGTGTGACGGCTCACACCTTAATCCCAACACATTGGGAGGCTGATGCAGGCAGATCACTTGACCCCAGGAGTTCAGCACTAGCCTGGGCAAAATGGTGAAACCCCATCTCTATTAAAAAATACAAAAAACGTAGCCAGCTGTGGTGGTGTGTGCCTGTAGTCCCAGCTAGTCAGGAAGCTGAGGTGGGAGAATCACCTGAACCCAGGAGCCAGGAAGTCAAAGCTGCAGTGAGCCGTGTTCACACCCACTGCACTCCAGCTTGGATGACAGAGTGAGACTTTGTCTCAAAAAAAAGAATACTAATAACAGCCCAAGCGAGAAGAGAACATGGTAAAACTGATGCTTTTGATTGACTGATTGGGTTGTGCAATCACAGTAATTGAGAGACCCCTGGCCTCACTGATTATCTGTCCCAAATATAAGAATCAGAATGATTATTGCACCTGGAGCCAAATCCTTGGAGATCCTCAGTCAAGCCCTCGTTCTGCAGTTGGACAGCCTCAGCAGAGATCCCTGAATTAAGGGGAATAGGTCCACTTATGGCCTCTGGGACCTTTTCAAATCTCATTTCCCTCCTGCGGGGATGTGCAGTGCTGTGAGTAGGCTGATGTTTTAGGAACAGTTCTAGTTTCCTTTTCCCCCATACCCTGCTTTTAGGCATAGTCTCTTGAATATAGTTCTGGTACCCAAAAGAGAAAGTTGCCTCCATCAGCAAACCGATAACTGAATGTAGATAAAACAGATTTCAGGCTGGGTGCAGGGATTCACGCCTGTAATCCCAGTATTTTTGGAGGCCAAGGCAGGTGGATGACTTTAGATCAGGCATTCACGACCGCTCTGGCCAACATGTGAAACCTCATCTCTACTAAAAATACAAAAATTAGCCTGGCATAGTGGCAGGCACCGTAATCCCAGTTACTCAGAAGGCTGAGGCAGGAGAATCACTTGAACCTGAGAGGCAGAGGTTGCAGTAAGCCAAAATCACGCCACTGCACTCCAGCCTGGGCGACAGAGCTAGACTCCATGTCAAGGGGGAAAAAAAGAAAAATTAAACATTTCATAAATATGTGAAGTCAGGTACAGTTAGCAATTCAATGAAACTCCGAGCCTCTTACCTGGGCAGTCTGTCGTCCAGCCTGTGACTTCTTGATGAGTGACGGTAAAAGTTAGGCATCATCTTTGCCTGTACTAGAAGCGCTTATACTTCTGACCTCAGAAATTTGGGTTAAGAAGAAAAGAGAATAGTGAGTGAACAATAGGAGTCTGTTGGAAAGGCAGCTGGAGGAGTGGCAGGCAGAACTTTGTTGGGGGTGGCTCGTGGAGGGGCAGATGTTCAGTCTGTGGAGGCGCTTTGAACTTGAAAGTAAGTCCCCAAGAGTGAGAGAGAGGACCAAGGACCGGACGACATGGTGGCTCACTCCTATAATCCCAGCACTTTGGGAGGCCAAGGAGGGCAGATCACTTGAGGTTAGGAGTTCGAGACTAGCCTGGCCAACATGGTGAAACCCCCTCTCTACTGAATATAGAAAAATTAGACAGTTGTGGTGTGGTGGTGCACACCTGGAATACCAGCTACTCTGGAGGCTGAGGCAGGAGAATCACTTCAACCCGGGAGGCAGAGGTTGCAGTGAGCCGAGATTGTGCCACTACACTCCAGCCTGGGCGAAAGAGCAACACTCCATCTCCAATAAAAAGAGTGTAGGCCACGTGCAGTGGCTCATGCCTGTAATCCCAGCACTTTGGGAGGCCAAGGCAGGCAGATCATGAGGTCAAGAGATCAAGACCATCCTGGCCAACATGGTGAAACCTCGTTTCTACTAAAAATACAAAAAAATAGCTGCACATGATGGCCGGCACCTGTTGTCCCAGCTACTTGGGAGGCTTGGGCAGGAGAACCACTCAAACCTGGGAGGTGGAGGTTGCAGTGAGCCAAGATCGCAGCACTGCACTCCAGCCTGGGCAACAGAGCAAGATTCCATCTCAAAAAAAAAAAAAAATTGGGAACCGCGACTTAGGTGCAGACATGGCCAAGTCCAAGAACCACACCACACACAACCAGTCCCGAAAATGGCACAGAAATGGTATCAAGAAACCCCCATCACAAAGATACGAATCTCTTAAGGGGGTGGACCCCAAGTTCCTGAGGAACATGCGCTTTGCCAAGAAGCACAACAAGAAGGGCCTAAAGAAGATGCAGGCCAACAATGCCAAGGCCATCAAGGCCCTCGTAAAGCCCAAGGAAGTTAAGCCCAAGATCCCAAAGGGTGTCAGCCGCAAGCTTGATCAACTTGCCTACATTGCCCACCCCAAGCTTGGGAAGCGTGCTCATGCACGCATTGCCAAGGGGCTCAGGCTCTGCTGGTCATAGGTCAAGGCCAAGGCCAAGGATCAAACCAAGGTCCAGGCTGCAGCTCCAGCTTCAGTTCCAGCTCAGGTTCTCAAAGGTGCCCAGGCCCTTACAAAGGCTTCAGAGTAGATATCTCTGTCTGCCAACGTGAGGGAGGACAGGACTGGTGAGACACACCCCCCTCCCGGGGCTGCCATCTGCATGGGGCTGGGGTCCTCCTGTGCTATTTGTACAAATAAACCTGAGGCAGGAAAAAAAAAAAAAGTAAGAGAGGACAACACACCACTTCCTAGGGTGCCCAGAGTTTACAGACCTTTGGTTTGTACCAACTCTAGAAATAGACTGAAATAGACAGGAAACACCTGAGCTAGAAAGAGCTGGCCTGCAGCCCTTTCCTGAAGATTTTAGGTCTGAGGTGGCTCCGAGGGCCTCTTTGGATGCATCTGGTTTCAGCTGTCTGGCCATACACACCTGTGCCCACACTTGTGTGTGTTTCCATATTGGGGTTATCTATGGACAGGTGTGAGGTGGTTCCCTACATTCCTAGTCCTTGGTCTGGGTTTATGCTGGGGGCAGCTGAGGAGAGAAAAGAGCGGGAACCTTTATTGGGACATAAGCCTCCCAGGAGAACCTTACTTCTGGGAGGCCACATCTACTTCCCGCCTTCACTCCTGGTTCATTTTCTGGACAATGATGCCACCTAGTGGGGAACAGTAAGAACTCACACAGCATTCAGACAACTATGCATAGCTCTTCAAATATAAATTTGCCTACTTTGAATTAGGTTGGTGGAAAAGTAATTGTGGTTCGCCATTAAAAGTATAGCCAAAACCGCAATTACTTTTGTACCAGCCTAATGCTTAATTCTGTTACCCATTGAGTTTTGTTACCTAGTTTCTGACCAGGCCAAACTACAGCATATGAGCAATCAGGATTTCCTGGTACTATCACCTCTTTCTAAGACCGCTATAAATGATATAAATAAATGTAAATTTAAAACTGATGCAGAGGCTGGACATAGTAGTTCACACCTGTAATCCCAGCACTTTGGGAGGCCAAGGTAGGTGGATCACTTGATGTAAGGAGTTGGAAACCAGTCTGGCCACCATAATGAAACCCCATCTCTATTTAAAATACAAAAAAAAATTAGCCGGGCATGATGGTGGGTACCTGCAATCCCAGCTCCTTGGGAGGCTGAGGTGGGAGAATTGCTTGAATACAGGAGGCCGAGGTTGTGAGGAACCAAGATCACACCACTCCACTCCAGCCTAGGCAACAGAACGAGACTCTATCTTAAAATAATAAAATGTAATAAAAATCTGATGCAGAGGCCTGGTGCAGTGGCTCACACCTGTAATCCCAGCACTTTAGGAGACCAAGGTGGGTGGATTGCTTGAGCCCGGGAGTTTGAGAATAGCCTGGACAACATGGCGAAACCGCATCTCTACAAAAAAATAGCAGGGTACTGTAGTGTACACCTGTAGTCCCAACTACTCGGGAGGCTGAGGTGGGAGGATTGCTTGAGCCTGGGAGACAGAGGCTGCAGTGAACCTATATTGCACCCCTGCACTCCAGCCTGGGCAATGAAGTGAGACCCTGTCTTAAAAAACAAATAAAAAAACTGATGCATAGAAAGTCTTAATTAAAGGAGGTGTGCCAAAATGACCATAGTGACAGGGTTAGGATGGTGCAGTTATGTTTTCTAAATGCTTTGTAATACAGTTATGATAGAGCTTGCATTTCCTTCTTAGAAAATTTGTGTTATTAGTAGCATTTTTTTTTAAGTAATGGATCATGGTGAAAGTGAAGTTGGAAAATATGGAGAGAGACGATAAAAACAGAATCACACAGTTTCACAACTGAAACGTAACTGTTTACATTTTTTGGTGTGCCTCTATTTAGCCTTTTTTTTAATTATAGAGTTTATGTATTTAATTGTGATTATCTGTTTTTACTCTGGTAATAATTCTATTGCATTTATAATATTAAAAGTCACTCTTTAGACAGAGCTTGACTTCCTGGAAATCTGATCTTAAAATAATTTTTAATACCTTTGTTTGTGTTGTATGTTCATGTGTATGGAGATATCATCAAAAACCAGTAATTGAACAGGTGAAAACAGTAACAAGACAGGAATTTTAAAATTCATTATGCAACATCCGGTGAGCCCACCAGCCACCAGCAGGGCCCAGCCATGTGCTCGCGCCATCTGGTGGTCAAGGTTATGAACGGCTTAATTCTCTGCACATTGAAAATGGAACAAGGATATCCAGGAAATGTAGGGACTGGAGTTTGCATTCTGAGTACCCAATAGGCACCCCATGAAAGGAAAGGCTCACGGAATCTACGAAATGAAAAATTCAAACAGGAAGATAGCCATTTGGAGTTGTAGCCCTTGGGTCACCTCCAAATCATCTTTTTTACAAATCTCTCTCTTTTTTTTCTAGAGATGGAGTCTTGCTCTGTTGCCCAGGCTGGAGTGCAGTGGCACAATCTCAGTTCACTGCAGCCTCTGCCTTCCAGGTTCCAGCAATTCTCCTGCCTCAGCCTCCTGGGTAGCTGGGATTATAGGCACACGCCACCACGCCCAGTTAATTTTTGTATTTTTAGTAGAGATGGGGTTTCACAATGTTGGCCAGGCTGGTCTCGAATGCCTGACCTCAGGTGATCCTTCTGCCTTGGCATCCCAAAGTGCTGGGATTATAGGCATGAGCCACCGTGCCGGGTCACAAATCTCTTTTAAAAATAAATCTCTTCTCCACTTGTAGCTCATTTATCTTATTATGAAATAACATATCATAGTATCTGTCCTTTCTCTATGACAGAAACATTTTGAGAAGGTTCTGGGAGAGGCAGGTTGTACAAGAGAAAACATTCTTGTTTATTAGAGCCATAAACAGCTGATATGAATCCCAGCTTTGCCACTCACTCACTGTGTCCCAGGCTAAGTCATGTGATCTTTCTGGGCTGCTTCCTCATCTCTGGAATGGGGGTAATCACAGCTTCTCTTCTGAGTTATAAGGACTAGACATTATGCCTAATGCTGTGTTTGTGGTGCGGGGTTCAATGACGTGTAGATGCTTTTATACTAAAAAGCCTTATGGATAAGGCAGATTAGGTAAAAACAGAAAGTTAATTCAGTTTACCAATTCTAGGATGCACAGGTTTTTCCATCTCTGAAGATGTGTCTGTGACCTGCCAGCGTTTTTCTTTCTCAGTCGCTTTATAAAATAATGGTGCTCCCTCCATTTCGTAGTGTTTTACACAAAATGTTGTAGTTATGTCAGCAGAGTAAAGTGCCACAGAGAGAAGTGTTTAAGTGCTTTGGGGTTGTGCCTGTAAAGCCTGAATGTGAGACTTCATGGTATGAGGCCTAATGGGGCAATTCTCCCTCTGCTCTGTTCACAGTCCCAGACTTGAACCTGAGAGGGACTCTTTCTATGAAGTTTATTTGGAAAATGTGTGTTAAACCTTTTCAGGGCCAGGCGCAGGGGCTCACACCTGTAATCCCAGCACTTTGGGAGGCCAAGGCAGGCAGATCACCTGGGGTCAGGAGTTCAAGACCAGCCTGGCTGACATGGTGAAACTCCGTCTCTACTAAAAATACAAAAAATTAGCCAGGCATGATGGCAGACACCTGTAATCCCAGCTACTCAGGAGGCTGAGAAAGGAGAATTGTTTGAACCTGGGAGGCAGAGGTTGCAGTGAGCCAAGATTGCGCCACTGCATTCCAACCAAAACCTTCTCAGATTCAGTGAGATAACACAGCGCAGATCATCCCTCAGTAGTGTTTCCCACACAGTGCACATGAGGGGAGCAATGGAGGGTTGACCTGGGGAAGAAGCTGGCAGGTGGGTGTGATCATTCTCAAGTCCTCCTGCTTCCTTTTCTGCTGTGTCCACTGCTGTCATCTCTCAGGGACTGTCTCGAGGACTGAATGGGATGTTGCCTGGAAAATACCTGGCATTGACTTGATTGTGTAAGTAACAGCTGGTGGTACGCTCCATCTCCTCAGCAACTGTTCTGGTCTTTTTTCTCTCTTTCAGTCTAATAAAGTTCCTGTTGTTCAGCACCCACATCACATGCATCCGCTGACTCCCCTCATTACCTACAGCAATGACCACTTCCCCCCCGGCTCCCCGCCCACTCACCTCTCCCCAGAGATTGATCCAAAGACAGGTAAGTCACCTGCCGCTCAGCCAGTGTTGCTGCAGGGAGGGCGGGCTTCTCTTTTGTGAGAACATAACAGCTCTTGAATCGGGCCGACCTGGATTCAAATCATGGCTCTGAGTCTCAGGAGTCTTTGGGCCTTGCCTGCTTACTTTAGCCTTGTCGATTTTTTTTTTATCTGTGCCTACCTTGTACCTTCTATACCATAGGGTCATTATTAGACCCAGAGGGAATTAAATGGGGTAAATAAAGCACAGGGCCTGGCTCCACAGGCAGCGTTTGGGGTGGCCCTTCCCAAGTCAAGCCCAGCTGTGGGCTGTGCTTCCCTACTCCAAGACACATTTGCCCTAAACTGAACATTTTAAAATAGATTCATCAGTCTAAGCAGACATATAAGTGCAACCATAAAGCAGTGAGAACAAACTGGCATCTATTCATTTATTTATTTATTATTTATTCATTCATGTATTTATTTATTTATGACACTCTTGTGTCGCCCACGCGAGAGTACAGTAGTGTGATCTCAGCTCACTGCAACCTCAGCCTCCCAGGCTCAAGCAGTCCTCCTCCCTCAGCCTCCCAGGCTCAAGCAGTCCTCCTCCCTCAGCCTCCCAGGCTCAAGCAGTCCTCCTCCCTCAGCCTCCCAGGCTCAAGCAGTCCTCCTCCCTCAGCCTCCCAGGCTCAAGCAGTCCTCCTCCCTCAGCCTCCCGAGTCACTTGGACCACAGGCGCATACCAGCATGCCTTTGCCCAGCTAATTTTTGTATTTTTAGTAGAGACTGGGTTTTGGCATGTTGCCCAGGCTGGTCTCAAACTCCTAGGCTCAAGCAACCAACTCACCTAAGTGCTGGGATTACAGGTGTGTGCCACTGCGCCCAACCTGAGTTGGCTTTTTTTTTTTTTTTCACTTGCCCACCAGACCAGTCCATTCCAGGGAGCCACTGTCTTCACAACATTCCCACAGAGTTACCTGGGGAAGGCAAAGCATTTTTGGAGCCCCTCTTTGGAGAAATAACAGTCACTACAAGTTACAGATAGTGAGGAAGACACATGTGGAGGAGGAATCCAAAGTTTATTTCTCCATGAATGAGGCGGGCTTTCCAGGGACTTAGTTCACCAATGACTCTTGTCATTGATCTTATGGGTCCTGTCCCTCTCTTCCAGGACACTGGCTCCCATGTCACAGCCAGCTGGAAGGTACTCTTGCCCACAGAGATGAAATCTGGTCAACTAGAGAGGGGGTAACTTAGTCCTGCCTCCCCTCAATATGTCCTTGTCTGACTGGTGAGAACTGCTAAGGAGGTGACAGAGGGCAAGGACAATGAGACAGACCCTTGCCAGACTCCAGAGCACCAGGGACATAGGGCGGGACCCTCCCATTTGATATTCTTTAAGGTGCTCGGGCAGGGCCAGGGGACAGTCTGACACATCTCTCTTTGGATGCAGGAATCCCCCGGCCTCCTCACCCATCCGAGCTGTCACCGTATTACCCGCTGTCTCCTGGAGCTGTCGGACAAATCCCCCACCCCCTCGGCTGGCTTGTCCCACAGTAAGGAGCCCATGGCCTCTCATCCCCCCGCCTCCTCATGCTGAGCTCTGCTTCTGTGCCCTATGTGCTGTACAGTGGAGCTCTCAGAGGCAGGCCCAGGACTCGCCTCCCTGCTCCCGCCTGGGCAGCTTGTACCCAGCTCTACCTTCCCACTTCCTTCCCGTATTTCCCATCCCCTCTTCCCAAGCCCCTCTCCTCCCCTGCCCTGAGCTTTCCCAATGTGCTGACCGGATTTCCTCGCCCTCACAGGCAAGGCCAGCCCATGTACTCTCTTCCTCCCGGTGGCTTCCGGCACCCTTACCCCGCCCTCGCCATGAATGCGTCGATGTCCAGGTGAGTGCTGGGGCTGCGGCTGTGCACATTTGTCTCAGCAACCACGCCGTTTCTCACCACGAAACAGCTCTTGCCAGTTAATGAGCAGGCACAGGGCTTACCCTCCCCCGACCTCTCTTTGATCAAGCACCTTCTCATGTCCCGTGCTCCCCACCCCCAGGTCAGAACGGAGACCACAGGATCACTGGTCCCCATCTCTCTAAGAGAAGGATTTCAAAGGCCTAGCACTCCGCCTCCTGCCATGGGCTCTGGCACAGAAGCATTTTGAGGACAGGTGCTCACCGACTAAGAGTAGAACCACATCCTGATAAACCCACAGTACATTGAAAACACAACTTTCACCTTAAGATATTTGCAATATATGATGGGTTTATTCGGATATAACCCCATCTAAGTCAAGGAGAACACTGAATTCATACCATTTTTGCACCATTGTAAAATCAAAAAATCCTAAGTCAAGGACTGTCTATCACACTAAAGCCAGAGACTGGGAGAAGATGAATTTTTCCTGAAACAATGTCAGTAGAGGAGTCAGTAAAGGGGATTTGTATCTCAGGGACCAGCTCTGCCTGACAGTGGAATCTCTGCGGACAGAGGAAATGCAGCCCGCAGCCCACGCCCTTCTTTTCTCCGGTGCACCCTGCTTCTGACCCTCTGCCCCTTTTGTGTTTCATCCCACCTACTTCCAGCACCAGAGAGGCGCCTGGGTGTTTGTGGGGAGAGGGAGGAGTCATTAGGCATCCCCCAAACCTGGTTCTCTAGAAGACAACAAATAGTCTTCTAGTGCCCAGACTTTGCCCCACTACCATGCCTGTGCCCCCCAGGCAGAACACCACCATGTCCTCTGCTGGGCGGCAGGCATGCAGCCTGAACCCCGCTGTTGTCATTCATTTCTTTCCGGTGCACAGCCTGGTCTCCAGCCGGTTCTCACCTCACATGGTGGCTCCTGCCCACCCTGGCCTGCCCACCTCAGGGATCCCCCACCCCGCCATCGTCTCCCCCATCGTCAAGCAGGAACCGGCACCCCCTAGCCTGAGCCCTGCGGTGAGCGCGTAAGTAGGCGGCAGCCTGGATTGCGGGTGGGAGGGTGTGGGCTGTGGAGAGAGGTGGCCACACTCTGAGCAGCAAATGCCATTTACTCTTCTCCCTCAGTGTCACTCAGCAGGCAGCACAGCCTCCCCAGCCAGGCCCTCCCTCTCCCTTGGGACTTACCCCCTCTGACCTTCTGGGTCCCTGTCCTTGCAGGGACATGGTGCATTTTCTTTACCATTAAAGAAAGTTTTACTCTCAGGCATCAAAGGCTGGAAGAGAACCTGAGAACGCTTTTAGCTTCCCCTCCTCCCCACCATAAGACATATGAAAAGATGAGGCCCAGAAAAGAGACTGTTTTTTTAAGGACTTGTGGTGGGCTGGTGGCCGAGCTGAGCGGAGCACCAGGGCCCTTACCTTGCCCGTGTGCCATAAAGATGGCACTAAGCCAAAGTCAGTGCTCCCTGGAAAACCCAGGAGACCCCCTTGGTTCTTCCTGGAGCATCCCACACTGTCCTGTCGCCGTGACCAGCTCCAGGGAGAAATCTCATCGCCCCCACCACTCTCTGCTCCTCTGTCTGGAAATTAGAAAGTAGATTTTCAAAGAGTCTGGCTTGGAGATTGTTCAGAGGTGAGAAGCTACCAGAGGAAGGTGCTCAGGTGCTGAACACAACCTTGGGGCCACTTGAATAAGCGCCCAGGCAGCCCCGCCCCTCCCCAGAGACAGTCAGCTGCATCTCAGTGACAGGCACGGACTGATGAGTTGCGTGACACCTGACACATGCTAACCTACAACCACGTGCCTTCCCAGGAAATCACCAGTCACCGTGAAAAAGGAGGAGGAAAAGAAGCCCCACGTGAAGAAGCCTCTGAATGCCTTCATGTTGTATATGAAGGAGATGAGGGCCAAGGTGGTGGCTGAGTGCACCCTGAAGGAAAGTGCAGCCATTAACCAGATCCTGGGAAGAAAGGTAAGACCCGCCCTCATCCTCCAGGCCATGGGGCAGCACCCCTGCATTGATGGCCCCTTTTCGTCTCTGACCCTCTCTCCCCCAGTGGCACAACCTGTCTCGAGAAGAACAGGCCAAGTACTATGAGCTGGCTCGGAAGGAGCGGCAGCTTCACTCGCAGCTCTACCCGACCTGGTCAGCCCGGGACAACTACGTAAGTGCACGCTCTGGGCAGGGGACACTCAGAACCCAGGAGCAGCCTCTGCAAGAGAGGAAGTAAGAAGGAAAGTGACTACATTTATAGAGGACTCTTTTTTTTTTTTTTTGAGATGGAGTTGCCCATTGTGGACTGCAATGGCGCGATCTCGGCTCACCGCAACCCCGCCTCCCAGGTTCAAGCGATTCTCCTGCCTCAGCCTCCCAAGTAGCTAAGATTACAGGGTTGCACCACCATGTCCAGCTAATTTTTTGTATTTTTGGTAGTAAAGGGGATGTCTCCATGTTAGTCAGGCTCGTCTCCCGACCTCAGGTGATCCGCCCACCTCGGCCTCCCAAAGTGCTGGGATTACAGGCGTGAGCCACTGCACCCGGCCTATGGAGGACTCTTAAGACCAGGGAGAAGCCCATACTTCTCTGGAAATAAGGAATGCATTTTAATTCTCAGGAGGTCAACAAGAGGTCCTGAGGACGGACTTAAGTTTGTGCATTTCCGTTTGAACTGGACTCTGCCCTCGATTTCATAACACAGGGCGCAGGGCTAGCTGTGGCAGGAAGAGTATCTCTAGCCACTCCTCACCCAGGGCTCAGAGACCAATGCGTGAGCCTCAGGGGGCGTGTCCTTAAACTCACGGAAACCAGGCCAATTTTGGCATGCATGCTTTTTTTTCTGCTAAGAGGATCCACAGCTGCATCAGACTTTCAGAGGGACCTGGGGCCCCTCAGAGAAGATCAGGAAGCACTGTTGTTCCAGGGAGGGAAATGGACAAACAGAGTCTGAAGAGCCGTGGAGGGAAGAGGCCTTC